TTTTGTGACAACAACCATAAAGCCTGAAATGCCTCGTTGAGGGATTTCACCTCTAGAGGAATGTGCGTTGTGGAAGGGAAATCTGGTAATAACGAGTACTTCCATGACCCGGGACATTGAGTTCAGGTGAAATATAGAGAGCAGCATACGTGTACTCGCTCGGAACCATGTCACTTTTGTCATGCCAGTCAAACTTCCATTCTGAGCTACTATAAGTCACAATTGTGGAAATATCAATTGGATTGTTCAGTGGGATATTGAAATGCGAGTTGTTGTCATCCTTAACAAGCTCGGCTCGAAGAATGTACTCAGTATGACCAGCCTCTGTCTTCGAGCGAAAGAAAATAATTTCACCTTCCTTTAGTTGTTCTATCTCTGTTTGAAACTTGTTGTCGTACGTGTTTGGGTCCAACTGGAAGGAAGCCACGAGTTCCTTTCTGACATTGTTTCCATCAACACTGTTGACTATGTTTAATATGAACCCAGCTGCCAGTATAGACTCCATAGTCGCTTGATAAAGGCTATACTCCTTGGTGGCTTTGCAGTCCACTGCACTATCTGTGCTTTCCACTGCCTGACCACACCAATCACACGTCGAAGTTGGCAACGCGGGAGAAGTACTCCGTAGCGGGATTTTCACAATGCTCTCCATCCAGTCTAGCACGGCACTGACACGGCCATGCCACTGGGGCCTGAAATGAGATGAAGTGTCTGGATTACCCCCAGCCACAACGCCAACCTGGATCGGCCTACCACCAATATAGGATGGCACAGTCACCGAGCCACCACTATTTATCCGCCAAGACCAAACAGAGTACCAGAGAGCACAAACATAAGGTCACAACACAAGTTAACAGAGGATAGCTCACATACTTTCTTCACACTTGCAAAATAGAATTTTGTAGGACAGTCTAATTGCAATATCAAATTGTCCTAATGGAGGTAAACGATGACACAAATCCTCCATTGTTCTAAACCGCCAATATATCCAAGCCTGTTTTTCCTTCTGACCATTTTTGCCCCATGCAAAGTTCATATGAACCTGCGTAGAGCTTATTGTGGACCCTACAACCTTTTCGGTCTAATGCATGATTTTGAGGCATGTTGTGTATAGCTGCGAAACTTGGTAGTGGTTGAAAATCAATGATATACAACAAAAAGCAGAGTACACATGTGGTTGAAGTGGTTCGGAACAGAAATACATGTTGTATTTGGAGGTGATTCATCACGAAATACACTTTGGATTTCGGTTTCTACGAAGGACCCACCCGTCTAGCGCATTCATGTTGGAGGCTAATAACTCAAAGTCTTGAACAGCCTCGCTTGGGTCCCAAGTTCCTCGCAACCTTGTTGTGCGCCCTACCTCCTGCCCACCCGCCCCCCCGCTTGCATTGCTGCCCGCCTGCTTTACTTTGCTATTTGTTGTCTAGTCTATGTTGGCCTGCATGTTTTCCTGTATTTGCCATCCACAACACAGTTTGAAGCTTGGTTGTGACTGAAAAGCATTCTGAGGAGATCATGCAGACTTTCGAGGGCTCAGTCTCCTATCTATCTATATATATCGACTTTTGTGGCCTCGCCAGGCAAGTGGTCCATTACCACTCCAATTACCTAGATAGAAGGAAATTACAAAGGAACTTGCTATAAAATCCGGATTATCAAGTTATCGGGCGACTTCGTATTTGGAGTCATCCATCATGAGGTGATCAAAAGAAAGGCACTATGATGTATTGTTCGTTACCAAACAATGTTGTCGAAGGGTAAAGAGGTTTTCTTGCGGAGTCCTCGTCAAACAACAATGAATGTTGTGACTCAATTACAAACGGCAGGATGAGGAGTCCTCATCCGACCATGAAGAAGGCTGTAACGGACAATGCACGCGCCGTGGTGGCAAAATTGCTCGTTATCGAACAATGTTGTCCATGGGGAACGAGGTTTTCTTGCGGAGTCCTCATCGGACAATGAAGAAGGTTGTGACGCAATGACACATGGCAGGATGAGGAGTCCGACAACGAAGAAGGTTGTACAAACAATGCTGCCAAAATGCATGCGCCGTGGTGGCGGCATTGTTCGTTATGGAACAATGTTGTCGATAGGGAATGAGGTTTTCTTGCGGAGTCCTCGTTCGACAACAAAGAAGATTGACAGGTGGCAGTATGAGGAGTTCAGGCATAACATCCATTGCCTCGCACATGTTTCCGGGACTTGAATGTCAACGCAGCGCGCACTGCTCTAAGATCACCCCTTGGCACGTCAATAACGCCCTGTCTTTCGGGCAATGAAACATAAGCCATGCGCTAAGTGCTAATGACTGAGGTTACATCGACTGAAAAAGCGTCGTGGGGTTGATGTGTTAATGTGCGACATGGGAGAAAGTGCGCATTGCATTATTGTCAATGTCATCGAAAAATACACCCATTGATGGATGATACACACTAACTGCACGCACGATGGACTTCGACCAATGCAGGTCGCATTCCTATAAGATCACCCCTTGACGAGTCACCTAGACCCCGTTTTGACAAATGATGAGACCTAAGACATGGGCTAATTAGCCCATGGCTTTGATTACATAGACCGAGAACACGTCTCGGGGCTGGCTTGTGTCAGTGCGTGACAGGGCAACTCGCAATGCATTGTCGTCAGAGACCCTGAAGCTCGCGCGTATTGATGGATGATATGCGCGAACTACTCGAGCGATGGACTTCTACTAGTCCCTCCGCCTGGCCATTGACGTGGCACGAGGCATGTGTTTGCACAGTTCTGGCTTCCATCGGTTGGAGTGGAAGATAAAAAGAGAGAGAGAGAGGGATAGAGCGAGTGAAAGAGTCTGAGAAAAAGGATGAAAATAGGAAGAGAGAGATTGATAACGAGAGAAAGAGGAAGCTACTGTATTCGCAATGAGCAGAATGATAAGCTATTGGGGTCCATCGTCGATTCTATGATGAAGGTGTTGCGACGTCATGGCCTCTTCGGTCGAAATTGTGACGTACCTTATTCGTTAGTCGTGATGGATGATCAATGTGGAGCGCATTTGTGGAGGGCAATGACATGGGTGTAGGGGAGAACATGTTATTCATTAAAATAGGACATTATACTGTGTCCTCTTTCTAACAAATTCATTTTTGGCTGCAGCCTAAGCAACGTAGGCACTCCCATCCAGGGTTTAACCACATGCAAAAGCGTGCTAAGTTCCGTACTTGTGAAACTTTATAAATGAGATCCCTAATGCGGAAGCGTGTTGAGACTCATACTTGTTAGGCATGCCGCTCGGGAACCCTGTGCGGAAGTGTGCTGGGATCCTTACTTGTTGAACTTCAAAAACGTGCTGGCCCAGGAATCCTGTGCGGAAGTGTGTTGGGATCCATACTTGTTAAACTTCATAAACGAATAACGATAGGCACGCACATCAGGGAACCCTCTGCGGAAGTGTGCTGGGGTCCTTACTTGTTAAACTTCAAGTTCATAAATGTGATCAGCAAGGTGTCAGGATTGCATCCTCGTTGGATAATTATATAACTCTTTTGGTTATCCCTAAGTTGTACAAGCATGTCCAACCTCGTTGAATAACGACAGGCACGTCCAACTTGGGAAACATGTGCGAAAGTGTGTTGGGATCATTACTTGTCAAACTTCAAGTTCGTAAATGTGATGAGCAAGTTGTCATGATTGAATCTTTGTTGAAAAATACATTTGTTTCGGTTATTCCTAAGTTGTGCAGGCATGACCATCATCTCGCCCGAGACTGTTGTTTGGATGTTGATGAGATCCGAACTTCTGTAGAATACCTAGTGTGATGATGGATATGCCCACCATCTCGCCTGATATGTGGAAGTGTGATGAGATTCATACTTGTGCACAGTTGTGATGAGCAAGGTGTCATGATTGTATCCTTGTTCGACAGGTTTGTGTTGAACAGTGTGTCTTTGTAAACTTCATGTAATGTAATAGTTACAGTAGTAGTCGAAGTACAAGGAGTCAATTTTGACATACAAGTTTGTTCTTACCTATCATATTACACAAGAACTTCAAATTTTGCATATCTCTAATCGAATCCACACTTCAATGGACTATGCACTAAAGGCTTGGGCACAAACGCAAACTTGTTGGTTTCATTTGATGAAGGAGGTCACAAGCCATGTGATTCTATACGCACGCAAGAGACGTGATGTTGGTGACCTTTGCATAATGACCCGCACACTCACACACTCACTGAGATTTATCTTGCATCCACACACCAATTTGTCACGTCGCACTACAATTACCGATATTATTTGATGGCAATCATTTGTACACTGCAATGTTCTCGGAACACAATTTCAAACAAGAAACACAATGCACACTTGCTCCTCCGCATGAGATACTACTGAGATATATTAGAGATTTCAAAGTCAACACATGACGCCAGATTGGCAGTGAGCATGCGAAACACAACTCAAACTCGCAACGATAAAAGAAAGCATTTTCGTTGAGAAACCGACAATTGAGTAATGTGAGGATTTGCAAAATATAATCATTAAGGAATGAAATCTTTTCTAACGAAAATTTCTAAATCAATTGAATCAATCAAAGACAACGACGTTCTATGATACATGATGCCAATTGTCGTCTAATATGCGAAATATTTGTACAAGAGAACCTGAAAGGTGGTCGATCACCACGTTGTGGCAAACATCAACATAAACACCCGACAACAAGCTTCATCCACTTGTCTTGGAACTCCTTCCACCACAACATTTGTTGCTACCGACCTCCAACTCCTGCACAACCGACTATATAATGTTCGACGTTCCAAGAACTCTAGAATCAAATCGAAAATTCTAAGGTAAGGACTCGAATATGCTATAATGCGAGAAAACGAATCGAAAATTTCGAGGACATCATCTCTCAAGTTGACGAAAAGGAGGATCCAATGATTATTATCTTTGTTGACAGGAACAAAGATAATGCCATATGGAAGCAGATCCACGTTTGTAGCCCTCCTTTCTACCCCACCGTACTCTTGAAGTTGCAATTTACTGAAGAAGAACGAATTAAAGCTGAAGACTTGAAGGTCCGACTGGATGTCACATATCTCACTTGCGGTCGACCCCAACAGCGCCATGTCAAAATTGACCACCTCATCATTCACTCTGTCGTCGATGTGCAAGAGGGTGATAAAATATTTTGCTGCAATTCGCAATTGACCATCGGCGAGGATAGAGTGAACAATATGAGGTGGCACTGAGATCTCGTCTAATGTCGTCCAAAACCCGCAAGTTGCTAGGAACAGTCGTTGCAACGAATCTTCCCCTGCGTGTTCCACGTATTGTGGCCCGCACTGCACAACATCGAGCAAATGACATGTTGGGTAGCGAGAAACGGGGTGTCTAAACATTGTCCTTCATTGCATGATGCTTTGCTAAGTATTTTTCATACATGGCCTGACCCTTACTCATAGATCAAGGATATGTCCCTTTCTCCGGGGTAGAAGGGAAAGACACTCCTCAATGGCAATGGCATGCTCTTTCTTCCCGATCTCGACATCAACACCTGATGTCTTTAACATATCTTTGTGTTTGGTCGTAAACCAGGGGACTTTCTGCAATATGTGTTGCGGATATTTCGAGGACCTTCGTGTTCGAGATGACCCTACCCTTGTACAACAAAAGAAAGACAAAACGAAAAATAAATACACGTTTTCCAACACGAGTCCGAAGAAAGGGATAATATAAAAGAGCCCCATAACCTACAAAACGCACGACCTTCCGAATTACAGAACTTCAAATTTGCATGGCCATGAGCACGGAGCTGCGTGTGCGCCGCTGGCGAACAAAATGACAAGCACATTCGAGTTTAAGATCCCGACATTAACAAAGAAAAACAACAACAAGCGACGTAAGTGAAAGGCTAACATTCCCCGAAGTTTGGATTCCGGCGGACTTCTTCCTGCAGCAGGCACACAAAGACTAACCACATCACCCATCGACATAGGAAGTGTGGATCCCAGCGGACTTAAGCCACAACTCTCAACGTGAAGAGAAAAATCCTCATTCAATTAAGCTGGCCAGGTTCTTAGCCGGGGAGCGCGCACGACACGCCGTTCATCACTGCTTATCAGCCGCTTTGTCCCTTCACTCCTTCGTCGACAACGTTTGCGCGGGCAAGGCCAGCACGTCGAGAGCTTGAGTGTCGACCCTAGATTTTTTCGAGGACGTGACATGTTGTCGGCCCCCGAGATCGCCTTCCTGGCCCCTGACTAAGGTGGCCATCAGTATAGGAGATGTGGGTGGTGAGAAAACGGTGGCGGAGGGTGAGGAAGGTGTGACGTTGTGCCCGTCGTCCGAGACAGGCGCTGCAGACCGTTGCACGTTTACCTGCTAGCCGCCGAGTATCCCATCGATAACTTCAACGACGCTCAATTATTGACTTTGTTGAACCGGGCTCACAGCAACGGAAACCTCATCGCAGCGGTGTTGGAGATCGACAGCAACCGCCAGCGGTTGAACCTCATAATCTTCAGGGTCTGCTGACAGGTCACTGACCGCTTGCGTCTCCATATCCATTGTTGTCGCATCGTCGTCGGCATCAGGCCCGGGATGCCCCGCGTAAAGCTCGACGAACAAGTCAGACAACTCTTCATAGCCTGCATCCTCCTCACTGCCCAATCGTTCCTTGTCTTCAATATCGACATCCCCCTGTCCACCCTCTTCTCCTTCACGCAATAAAATCCACTCCTTTTCTCCCCCTTCCTCTCCCTCCTTCCCTTCTTCCCCTTCTTTCCCTCCGTCCCTCCCATATAACTCACAAACTTCTCCCAAAACCGCGTCGAATCCCGCGGCCCGCTCTTCTGCCTTCACGCACGTAGCCCCTCCCGCCGACACTGCAATCCTTGCCTATGGACCGCTTTCTGAAGAAGTCCGGATCCGGGCGGACTTCGGCTTATCCAGGTCAGAGGGCGCTTCACTCACGCCCGGTGCCTCAGTCGATGTAGTTCGGATTCTGGCGGACTTCGACGCAGGCTCCTTACCGGACCTGCCAGTCGGCTGTTCAACAACATTCTCCCCCCCATCCCCGCCACCGCCTTTTGTTGACGTGGCCTCATGGTGAGGCGAAACCTCACCCGAAGCGGTGGTCCCCTCTACCTTCCCCTGAATGTTTCCTCCCCCMCCCCCCCTCCGCCACCCCCACCTGCGCCTGCCCCCCCTCCGCCCCCCACACCTGCGCCTCCCCGCCCTGTGCCCCCCCCACCTGCGCCTCCACCCCCTCCGCCCCCCGAGCTCCCCTATGACCCAGTCGAAGGAGGAATCTTCCAGTCCACCCGTCCCTTCGAAGGGCGTCGTATAATTCGTCCAAGAGTTCCAACCACTACTTGTCTTGAAGTTCTTGAAACAAACGGTCAGCAATGGAACCGATGGTTGGGTCGGCAAGTTGAAGGTTGGAATTCTCGGACGTCACTTTATCAACCACCGAACTCCTCGCGAGTTCCAGGTACTCGGCCTTGGACTGGCGCGGGTAAACCTCCCACAACCGTTGGTTGTTGATAAGGGTCATGATCCACTCGCCCTTCTGGATTGCCAGCTCAATAGTTCCAGGGTGCCAAATCATGTCGGGGCCCCAGTCCGCCTCAGTCGATCGAGTGTGGTCCAGCCCTTCGAAGTGAATGGTATCATCCTTGCGAGAAGGATGATGCAGCGGAACCGAACTCCCGGGACGCAACGGAGGCAAGACAGCAGCCCGAGGTGTCTACCTCGCCGCCAGCTTGCTCGAAATCTTACCTAGGGCGGATCTGGGCACAGGTGACGGCTGGGTGGCCTGACTTGTTGAGGGAGCGGCGGACGAGGAGCCTGGTGCATGAAGCAACGGAGCAGGGTGGTAACCGAGGTTGATGTCCTCAGTGTCGCTCTCCTCCTCCGGAGTAGAGGTGTAAAAAACAACACTTGACTCCACCTCGTCTTCAGTGGAGACCAACGCACCATAACTCTTTTCGTTTAGGTGCTTCTTGGACTCAACGAAGTACAAACACTCCAGCCGGTCGAGGAAGTTCTTCGCGTTCTTGCAGGAGGCGTTGTGGTAGTTGTCCAGCAACATCAACATGTGGTCCTTGCGGCGCATGTACTTAGCCTCACTGTCCCTCCTGGGACGCGTTTCCAAAAAGAGGAACTCGTAGATCCTATTCCTCTTCCGGTCGGTCAACTTGAACTACAAATCTGTAGATAGTTCCCAAACGCGTCTCGGTTTCTCGCTCCTCGCAATGATTTCGCAGCGGTTGGCCCCAAAGTTTACCTCACTTTTGGTGAACTCCAAAGTATATTGCAACGACTCGGAATTCCCTTCCAACACGACCACGTGTCGACCGCTTTTCAAAACCTCCCACACGGCTCACGCATGCGGCTTCCCAAGGAACACGATGCCCTCCCCCTTTCTGCACACGAATTCCAGCAGATGGGCCAATTGGATGGGGTTCCGCTCCATCTCCTTGTAAACCTTTCTGTCAGCTCCAGGCAGGGCCGATGGCCACTATAAAGGGTCGAAGGGAATCTCCGATATGTCCGTCGGGGTCAGTTTCTGATGAGCCCCAACAGCCGCAGCGTCACCTGCCGACAACCTCGCATCGTAAACGACGCAAGTATTCTCCCGCAAATCATCACCTTTGAAGAGAATGTACATGCAGTCGTCAAGCGAGTACAAGTTGTGCCCCACCGAAAAACTTTTCTTCTGCTGCGCCTTCTTGACCCACTTCCCTGCCATTGACTTGACAACGGGCAAATGGCGAAGGCTGGTCATGAAGGCGTAGTCCCATCGCCGAGGGACGAAAGCGACGACCGTCCAGTGTGACGAAAACAATTGCTCTAGAAGGGAATTCAAATTCTCAAAAGCTTTTGAAGTCCACTGGTTAAAGTCCACCGGCTTGCACAGATCGAAAATGCATGTGTGACATTTGGTGGTTCCAACCACTTTCTCCAACTCCGTGACCCTCATCTGCGCCTCCAGAGGGTCAACGCCGAACGGGGCGATCGATGTGACGTCCCCTGAGTGTTTCCAAACAATGTGCACCACACCTTCGCCAAGCGCGATCTCCATACTCTTCCCCCTACTGCTGGTCAATACGAAGAGGACCTTGTTCCGCCAGTCAATGGACAACTTCTTGTTGAGGGTGAGTTTTTTCGTCGCCGCAATCGTCTTGTCATCCTCGCACCCCATGTACGGCGGGTAATCCTTGAATAGCGAAGCATCGCCAACGAGTTTCCTGCTCCCGTCCCACAACACGTCATCCATTCCCTACTTCGCAAACTCCACCAAGATCACCTCCCTTTTCTTCAGGAGGGGGTACGCGCGTGTCCAGTCCGAATCCAGCCGGTTCCCATGCTTGAATTGGTAATTATTCCATAATCGCACCAAGATGCGATCGCACTTCAGCAAGTGCACTGCCTCCTGCACTCCCAGCTTTCCTTGCTTCGCGAATGAAGCGGAGTCTGTCTGCATCCACACGACCTTGCAGTTGAGGACCTTCTTCAACAACCGACACTTCTCATTGTCAGTAAGGGCTTCCATAGTCTTCCAGCAGTGTGAATCCGGCTCAGTTACTTGAATGAACCAATCGCCACACTCTCTCTCCGTCTCGCCTTTCTTTTGGGCCGCGTCGACGTGGACGTTGTAGACGACCTCCTTTCGCCCCAACTTCTCGTTTTCGATATGGCTCAAGTCGGGCCTCATGTCGTTCACTTTCTTTTTCTTTGTGATCAACTTTGCTCCCTAGGGTGCCAGAAGTCTCCAAGTCTCCCATTTGTTGAGGAGTTTCATTCCCAGTTCCACAGACTTCTTCAGGCCATCACTAGTGGAAAATAAGAGTGAAGGGCTGCGTTCTGTCTCTTAATATCTTTATCTTCCTTCTCATCATCAAGAATCCACAAGTGGTTGTAAGGCGTGTTTTGAAGCGCCATTGCACAGAACTCACGCCATTTCTGCACCGGAGTTTTTTTCCCGCTGGGTTTCCCCATGACAGGTTTCGGGAAACCCTTTGCCTTCCACAAACACCGAATATCCTACATTGCAAGTTTGAGCTGTCTCGGAGGGGCATTCAAGTCCTTTTTGTTGTCCTCCACGCTGACCAGAAAATACCCTTCAAAAAGTCTTCGTCCGAGAAGTAAACCATATGAGCAGGCCACCTCTCGAAGTTGTATCGCAATTCGACTTCGGTCCTTAGCAGCACCTTGGCTGCCGCCGCGATGTGCTGCCCGGAAACGGCGTAACAATAGTACTGTCCCGCCAGCTCGTCCTTCCAGTCCTCTGGCTTCAGACGAACCGCCCGTACGCCCCTCACTGGTTTCTCCAATCCCACCGGCGCCAGCATAGGCGTAGGCAACTCGTACGTCTTCTCGGTATTGGAGAAGGCCAACTTTATTGTGTCAATGATGAGCTGCGTGTGCACGGGATCCATGAACCGCTGATTGTACGACTGTTCCCACTCACCGACATCGACGACTTGCGACGGGTTAATGAAGAACTCCCACTTCGTCCGCACGCCCTCGTTCCACTCCAGGAAGTATGTGGCGTCGATGTCAATCGGACCCTTCGGCTCGACAACAACCAACTCAGGCTGTTTTTGTGCCGACGTCTGGCGTTTCCGACCCGATGTGCCCTCTCCCCCCTCAACTACCTTCCTTTTGCCCCCCGCTATTTGGGGGGTCCTTGCCTTATGTTTTTTCGCAGAGCCCTCACCCTCTCCTTGAGGACCTTCCCTTCTCTTATGCGGTGGCTGCTATCCACCCTCCTCTTCCCCCCCGGCCGAAGTCTCTGTCCGGTCGTGAACCGGGTTGTATCCTTCAACCCCTGGAATACTCACCCCAGACCCGTCTCCCCGCCTGAGCGGCGAAGTCCGCGTCTGCTCCTCTTCGTCATCGTCGCTGTCGTCGAATCGACCACGGGCCTCGCCTCGGTGGAGCAAGAAAGAAAAATTGGAACCCAAATCCCCCCCTTCGGCTGGAGCACCGCTTAATTCGAACCCGGTGCACATCTGAACAGGCTGCAACAGCTCTTGGTCGCCTCGAACGTGGCACGGTTCGTCAAGGTCAGCGTTGCTTTGCTCCACCAACTTGAAGTCAAAAAACTCTCGTGCAGAAACAACACCTCCCCATGCGAGGTCTTGGTAGAAAGGGGTTCTCACCACCCTTGCACCAAACCGGGTCCCCTGGAACAAGTCAAAAGACAGAACCGCCCCTTTGGAATTGGCAACAATGTCGCCCTTCGCGTTGTCCTTTCTCATGGCATGTCAGTCGGCAACCGCCCCAAGTACTATACGCCTTTTTTTATCCTCGAGGAATATAACTGGACCGCACGGAGGCTTCGTCGGCTCAGACTCATCCTCGCAGCACTAATCGACGAACCATTTGGTATGCACATGATAGGACCACGATTTGGAGGTTCGTGATTCCCTGCCAGAGGTTCCGGTCGGTTGCTCCTCGCCCCTTGATGTCGACATTGTGTCTGCATCGGTCCAAGATACCAAAACAACCAACACACGGAAGACATAAATACACCACCCCAGTAGAGAGCTCCGGTTTCCGCACACCCACATGTCACGCACCTGCAAAGCTCATCAAAGTTATCGACACCTAAAGCAACTTAGAAAAGAGTCATCTGAATGAAGTTCGGATACCGGCGAAGTAGACGAACTCGCCAGCCATTGTCGTGGATTCATAAGGCATCTTGAACGAAGTTCGGATTCCGGCGAACTCGATGAATCTGCCGGACAATATCTTAGACCCCAGCACAAGGCCCATAAAACTCGCCTTAGTTGGGATTAAGCATCAAGAGAGACTGCCTGAACAACAGATAATCTGCAGGAACCGGAGGGGAATTCTGTTTGAGGAGTGCGAAACTCTGCTTGAAACGGATCCGGATCCGACAAGAAGGGTTACCCAACTCGCCCCAGTTGCGATTGAGCATCCCGAAAGAATGCCCGAACAACTGATAACCTGCGGGAACCGGAGGGGAATTCTGTTTGTGGAGTGTGAAACTCTGCTCGAAACAGATCCGGATCCAACAAGAAGGGCCACAAAACTCGCCCCAGTTGCGATTGAGCATCCTGAAAGACTGCCCGAACAACAGATAACCTGCTGGAACCGGAGGGGAATTTTGTTTGTGGAGTAAGAAACTCTGCTCGAAACAGATCCGGGTCCAACAAGAAGGGTCACCAAACTCGCCCCCAGTTGTGATTGAGCATCTCGAAAGAGTGCCCGAACAACTGATAACCTGCAGAAACCACAGGGGAATTCTGTTTGTGGAGTGCGAAACTCTGCTCGAAACAGATCCGGATCCAACAAGAAGGGTCACCGAACTCACCAGCAGTCGCGATTGAGCATCCCGAAAGACTGCCCGAACAACTGATAACGAGCGAGAACTGGAGGGGAATTCTGTTTGTGCAGTGTAAAACTCTGCTCGAAACAAATCCAGATCCAACAAGAAGGGCCACCAACCAGGACCGGCACATTGTCGCAACCGAGGTCCCTTATGAGTGCTTTTGGCAACCCATGAAGGCAACCGCCGACTGTTTGGCACCTCTTGAAGTTGTTGGGGGGGATTCATTTTCAACAACACCCTCAAAACACAAAGTTCGGATGCTGGCGAACTTCTTTTGTCGACGAACCACGGGCTGTATGGCTGCTGAGGGCGGTCTTCGTTTTTCGAATGCACAAAAGGTAAAGCATCGAAGTTCAGATGCCGACGAACTTGTTTAATTCTCCGTCGGGTCGGGAAAACCCCGGTCGCAACACGAGTTGTGGGAAAAACGAAGTTTGCTCGCCAGCCCGATGGAAACCGGACTTCGACCCTGCCCAGTGGTTGTCAAAATGTGAAGTTTTGATGTCGGCGCACTACTTGGCGAACACGGGTGCACTGCACGGTACCCGAGGGCGGTGTTCACTGTTTGGAACCAGAAAAGATAAAGCATTGAAGTTCGGATACTGGCAAACTTCTTCTGTCCTTGCCCCTTGTTTTGGACCAGCCAGACCACGATCGCTGCATGGGTGGCATGGAGATACGAAGATAGCTGGTATCCGAACATCATATGCTGCCGTGTAAGGACTGCTCACGGGCTGCAATGAAAACCACCAAGTCCGCCGGTATCCGAACTTCCACACGGCCCCAGGGTGGCGAACATGTGAAGCTCAAATTTTGGCGGACCACAATGTTGTAAGTGCGCACAAAGGAGGACTGCACGCCACCTGAGGGCGGTCTTCGTTTTTTGGATGCAGAAAAAGCAAACCATTGAAGTCCGAATTTCGGCGAACTAGGCGGGTGCTCCCCTCCCATTATGGACCACGAAGACGCTGGTCGCAGCATGGGTAGTGTGGATATACGAAGTTCGTTGGCATCCGAACTTCAAATACTGCTGATAAAAGACAACTGCTCACGGGGTCCAATGAAAACCACTAAGTCCGCTGGTATCCAAACTTCGACATGGGCCCCGGGTGGCAAATGTGTGAAGTGCGCACAACGGAGGACTCCTCGGCACCTCAGGGCGGCATTCGTTGTTTTGATGGTGAAAAGGCAAATCATTAAAGTCCGAATGCCAGCGAACTTGGCAGGTGCTCCCCTCCCGTTTGGACCAGGAAGACCCTGGTGGCAGCACGGGTTGTGTGGATATACGAAGTTTGCTAGCATCCGAACTTCAAATACTGCTGAGAAAGGACAACTGCTGACAGGGTTAAATTGAAATCGAGCAAATCCGCCGGTATCCGGACTTCTTCATGGGCCACAGGTGGCTAATATGTGAAGTGCGGATGTCGGTGCACTACAATCTGTGAAGTGCGCGTAGAGGAGGACTGCACGGCGGTATTCACTCTTTTGATGCTGAAACGACAAATCATCGAAGTTCGGATGCCGGCGAACTTGATGGGTGCTCCGCTCCCGTTCTGGACCAAGAGGACCCTGGTCGCAGCATGGGTTATGTGGTTATATGAAGTCCGTCGGTCTCCGAACTTCAAACACTGCAGAGAATGGACAGCTGCTCACAGGTTACAATGCAAACGACCAAGTCCGCTGGTATCCAAACTTCGACATTTGAAGTTCGCTGGCATCGGAACTTCAAATGCTACCGAGACATGACAACTGGCCACGGACTACCATGAGAACCATAAAGTCCGCCGGTATCCGAACTTCATCATGGGCCACGGTTGGCTAATATGTGAAGTGCCGCAAGTGCGGATGCCGGCGCACTATAACATATGAAGTGCGCGTAGAGGAGGACTGCACGGCGGTGTTCGTTCATTTGATGCTGAAACGAAAAATCATCGAAGTTCGGATGTCGGCGAACTTGGTGGGTGCTCCCGTCCCGTTCTGGACCAGGAGGACCCTGGTCGCAGCATGGGTTCTGTGGTTATACGAAGTCCGCTGACATCCGAACTTCAAACACTGTTGAGAATGGACAGCTGCTCACGGGTTACAATGCAAACGACCAAGTCCGTCGGTATCCAAACCTCGACATTTGAAGTTCGCTGGCATCGGAACTTCAAATGCTACCGAGACATGACAACTGGCCACGGACTACCATGAGAACCACCAAGTCCGCCGGGATCCGAACTTCGACCTGGACCTCGGCTGGCGAACATGTGAAGTGCGGATGACGACGAACTTCATTCGTCTGCCAGTCCCATGGTGGAACTGGATGGCCTTGGTTGCAGCTTCGGCTGTGGGAAAAGTCGAAGTTCCCCGACATCCGAACTTCAAATACTGCTGAGAAAGGACAACTGCTGACGTGCCACCAGTATAACCGGCGTATCTTTCGGCATCCGGACGTCTTCCCCCGCCGATGGGGGTGAGTATGTGAAGTTTGGATGCCAGCAGACATTGTACATTCACACATAGTCTGCAGTGATTGCGGGCTTCTGTGCTTGCGATCGGATCCTGCAATGCTGTTTCTATAAAGCAGACTGGGATCCCGACAAACAACAACAGCGTATGAGCGTTAAAACCAAAGAACACACATCCATAACTGTCAAACAGTCCTCCACAAAAGAGATCAGTCACCATCTGCTCCTCAGTGGAATGGTTGATTGGACAAGCGATCATGTTTTCATCAATCACATGGTTTTTTTTTAACGCGGATTGTCGGGCGCGACAATGGCGAGGATCACACACACATATAGACACACGCACGTCTGGCGTGGTGACTTGTTTGAGATCACGGTGCAACTACTGGTAGAAGCGAAATGTTGGAGACGTTCAGTTCATCGACACAATGGTGGATTCCTCAGACGATACGACGGTTGGTCGATCCGATGCTTTTTATTAGGCATCGCAACTGAGCGGACATTCGCTTGCACGATACTGACATGCGCAAAGTCTCTCGCACATGGACACACACACACAGACACACACAGACACGCGCCCACACTTCGTGGTTTGATATGGGCGGTTTTGTGATTGCTCAATCCGTGGATTTGATGAGCGGCCTGTTGATTGTGACACGCAAACACATGCATGAACAAAGCATCGGGGGAATCACGAAGATTTCTTGAAAGATGGATCCGGCCACTGGATCAGATCTTCCGCTCGTTCTGGCTTGTCCAATCAACGCCATCGAGCAGTACACAGACAGTGAACGATCTGTTGATTGCTGGAACTATTGATTGGACGAATCCGACAGGTCGCTGGTCCAACCGACCACGTCCATCAACACAAAGGTTGTGTTTCAAAACAGTTGGGGGCGAGTGAGGACGTGTCTGCGTCTGCAGGGGCATCTCTTAACTGCTCGTCCATTCGGCTCCGTCCAATCAACCCCATCAAGTTCTGTACACACGTCCTCACTCGCCCCCAACTGTTTTGAAACAAAACCTTTGTATTGATGGACGTGGTTGGTTGGACGATCAACCTATCACATCATCCAATCAATCGTTCCAGCAATCAACAAATCATTCATCGACCATTTATTGTCCACCATTAATTCAACAAATCGTTCATTTGAGAGCACTCACATGCGTGCATATGTGGATGCAAATGAAACAAAAGAAACAACACATTAGGAAGCACAAGTCGCCTCGCACAAACACGATTACGCGAACACGAACGGGCAGCAGGGAACGAACAAATGCATACGGTGAAAAGAGCGTGCACAATCATTCACACGAACACGAAACCGTAAGCAAAACACGTCGTCGATGAGCATGTCGCATTCCACCGGTGCCGTTTTTTCTGGGCACTCACCACGATGAAGTTGTCGTACGGAGAATGGATGGTGCGCAGCTGAGCTTAAGCCGCAGAAACCGCTATGGGAGTAGAGCAGCTGCAATGGTGTAGCGTCAGATGGCTTGCGTCAAACGAGCGGCGCGCATTGGAAGCAAGCTCGACAGCAAGTTGCTGATTGGCGCTAAATCCGATGCGGATCCCCTCGCGAAAGCCAACGAGAAAGGTGGTGTGCGAGACGCGTCAGTGCGAAGTCTGTGGGGCAAGGAGTTATGCGATGCGCGTGCTCACGATTGCATGCGGCAGTGAGGACAGCGAAGGACAACGAAACACACGCGCGAGTTGCGCACTCGTCGGGTGAGGTGGCGCAACGCTGAAGTTTGTGATGGTGTCAATCTCGAGGCGATGGTGTTGACGAGAGAGATAGCGCAGGCGGTCGGTCCGACAACATTTCCCCAGCGAAATGCGATAATGCGAAATGAGCATCGAGAGGGGGGGGGTGTTTTATAGGCACACGCACGTAGGGACTCCCGCGCGGAACGGAAGGCCTTTTTGAAATTCGCAGTAGCAGGCCTTGGCCGCTGACGTGGTGGGGGAGGGGGGGCTGCATACGACATGTCACGTAGGTCTGGTCACGGCATGACTCGTGTGCGGGCCGTTTTTGACACAACGAAACACAACGAAAAAAAATGGGACTCCACGAACCGTTGGATTACCACGATCGACGACCTGCACACACGACACAAGCCGTTTGAGGGCCATTTATGACATTGGCTTGCGGGCCATTCCGGACGCTTGCGGGCGGTTGTGGCCTGGGTGGGGTGGAGTTTGGGAAAGGGCGGGGGCCTAGGGTTTCTTTTCGATGACGGAGAAGAAGGCCATTTCACCCGACACGAAACGAAATTGAAGGCCGGCCTTGGCCGAGCCGTCCGATCTGGATATCGCAGGATCATTTCTCGCCATGGCACAGGACCTGCGGGACAGACGTCAAACTGGTGACCGACTGGGAGGATGACGCGGGAAAGTTGTCATCTGAATGCCCCCCCCGGTTCACCCAACCATTCCCCGCATTCCGTCGCGCGCGACGACAACTCCGCCACGTTGCGCTATCGTCGTAGTCTGCCGCGAGCTGCAATGCGCCACCGTCATCGTCCTCAAAGTTGGATCTTGTAGGTACGTCAGACTTGCGCTCGACAAAACCATAGCATCCAATACCCTCGCGTGTCTGGCACATTTCAAGCGAGACCTCTTACGCTATGTGACAGCATTACAAGCATCGTTCCCCATGGTGCGACTCGTCGCCAATCAGCATTACAAACATCGTTCCATATGCTGTCACTGTTTTCTCGCCCCTAACATGTCTCCTTCTTCTAGCGGCAAACACCATTTCTTCTCTATCCTTCCTATTCGCTGTTTTCCATAATATCCATTGTTGTTGTTCATCAAACGCGTGTTCGGTCCGGAATGCTCATCGCGCAAGGAACTGTGCGTGATTGAGAGCGCTGCCTTCGTGGCCGCCACGTGGCCCGCATTCATTATCTGTCATCTTGGCCATGATGTCACGCCGTTCGCAGGTCCCCACGTGGATGATGAAGAAGACGACGAGTTGTGTGTGCGACGAGCCAGCGCTATCCACCGTGCGCTTATCTCTAACGAACATGCGTGCTTACGATGACAGGCTAGCACTGTGTGCTGACGGTTAATCCCTCCGTGGCATGATCGCCGAGCATGTTCATAGAAGAAATATGTGCGTGAGTCCATGCCATCGTCGGTTTCGCAAACAGCAAGCAGTGCTGGCTTGTCGTCACGAGCAGCTTTGTTCTTCAACTAAGAGCGTTCGGTTCACAGCGATGGCTCGGGACGCGAGTGCGTCGCACACACTACTCGTGGGTTTTTTCGTCCGCTACGTGGGGACCAGTGAAATGTGTGACAACATCGCCAAGACGACAGATACATGTCGATGAGTGTGTGCCTCAGTCGTGGCCTGCGCAACCAGCGTTCCATGGTGACATGATTGCACTGCCATCAGTCGTGGCCATGGAAGAACACCACGGTAATTTGCGAGTGTCAAGCATCACCTCGATTTTCATGTTGACCCCTCTTCGTCGTCTCCCAATCATGACAACATCCATAATGTTCGTTAGCAACAGTTGTTTGCGAGGTGGGGGCAGCTCTGTTCGTTGTCCAATCGTTCGATCGTAGATGCAGAATGAGGTTCTCGTCAGCCGCATGGTCCGTCGTGGCCTTCCACGTGGACAGCATCGCACTCCTCATTGACGGAAGAGAACCTCGTTCCGCATCGAGCACAAACATAGCTTCCTCCTTCACGCACCCGCTGCGTGATCGCCAGTGCGACACATGTGTCTTCCCATCAAGAAGGCATATGTGTCGCACTGACGCTCTGTTAATCGTGCGATCACGACAACACTGCAGTGCACGTTTGATCCTTTCGGGTGAAAAGGCCGACGTGTCGCACTGCGCGATCGCACGTGTCACGAGTTTTTGTTTATCGTGCACTCGCGGCAACACTCCGGTGCACGATTGATCATATCGAGTGAGAAGCCCCACATGTCGCGCTCGCGATCACACGTTTCATGCTCAGGGAACTTCGATTGTCCTCCGAGGTGGTGTAATTCCTTAATAAGACTCAAAAGCCTCTCCGTTAAAAGTCGTGCGAGCTTGCATGTGTGCCTGATCATGAGCACATGAAGTTCGGATGCCGGCGAACTTCATTCCTTGCAAATAATACATGGCTGTCCATTCCACAGGTGGTGACTGATTTGTGGTCGGGAGACAACAGTGTTGAGTTATGGTGGTTGCGGTCACGAAGATTAAATTCGGATCCCGACGGACTTGCGCTTTCGCAAAAGGCTCGGCAAGAGCGCGGTAAACAAACGGCTCCAAAAAAATATTGTCGTGGGACACAGGTTTCCTGCAAGTTTAAATTCGGACGGTTTGCGTGCTGCAACCTCCCCTCGACAGAGCCAACTGTATCGTCATGCTTGCTCCTCTCTCTACTGTCTACTACTGGCGTGACTGCTCCCTTTTTTTACACACAGTTAGCCTCAATTTCAAGTGACCCTGATTTTGTAAGTTCAGATCCCGGCGGGCTTTGAGAGAATTGTTCTGCATAATCCATTGCCTCGAATGACCCTAGTCGTCGCCAGCAATACGGGCCTGTCAGAGCCAACCATGTTTTTGGGTCCCGCGTAAATTTTCCGCTTTGAGCCCTGTGGGCCTTGTGACCAACGGTTGGCCCATGTTCCGTAGGGATGTCGCTTCACGAAAACATACTCCTTCAATGTTGCGGACCGCCATCCGTCGCAGGCGACTCCCAAACGATAAGAAATCGTTCGTCCTCGACCCCTCTAAACAGCGCCCGCCTGTCCTGTTCATCCTCCCCCTCTAAATCAAAGTTCGCCGGGATCCGAACTTCCGCATCAACGGTTGTCCGCTCGGCGCCACAAGGCCCGCTATTCTCCTGGCCTGGCAGGGGTAGCAAGCGACGAAACAAGGATCATACCGGAACACAACCTTGCAGTGGTGCCTTCTGAACTTTTGGAAGGGTGTGTCCTCCCTCAGTTTGGTGCCGCCACTGGCGCGCTCTAACTCACCTGTTGCGGGCGCGGAAATGGACAAAAAGGAACTGAATCCCCTGCACGTTCGGATCCCGGCGGATTTCATCAAACAGACCCCCACCAGGGCTGCCGCGCGGACACCGTTCGACAACCAGCAAGTTGTCCTCATTCCTGGATTACACCGCCGGTGTGGAACGGTTGACGTTGAGGTTAATCGGGGTTTGTAGGGGTCAGGGGGTCAATTTAGGGACCTCGATCCCTAGATTTTATTTCTGCAAGCATCCATGGGCTTGCAGTGGTGGGGACGCTGGAGCAACGGTGCAATCTCAACAGTTGCGGGAAAATGAACTCTCCCAAACTCCGCCTATGACAAGTTCGGATTCCAGCGCAGTTATACGATTTGTCTACACAGTGTCGTTCAGAACATCCGCCGAAAATAAGTCGTCGTGTCACGTCGCCTTTGCTACGGAAATTCGCATTGCCCTTGCCCTCGCTCACCTACTCCGCTAGACTAATCGACGGTTAATGAGGGTTTCTTAGGGGGTCAGGAGCCATGTTCTTCTTTGCCCAAGAATGCGTACGATGGAAGTGCAATAATGTGCGAATCCAACTGCAGGTACACTGCAGTCGCTGGATCTTAGGGTCGTAAGGGTTGCCGAATAGGGGTTCATGGGGGTTGCTGGAGGGGCCTGTAGCCGTGTTGTGTTTAAAACTGCCGCGAGTATCGGGTTATTCTCAGCAGTGCCACGTTCGCAATGTGTGAACCCCGGTCGCTGACAAGTTCGGATCCCAGCGAACTTCGAGGATCGGCCGTAGATCTTGGCATTTGCGGAATCTACAATCAATTGGGTGTGGTTGACGCACGACCGTTGCTTGGACCGCAGAAGTGGGTTTGGTCAGCACACGTGCTTGCCTTGTTGGTTTATGGAGTGAGGGTTTGTGGGGATGCCTAAGTGTCTTGCGATGCTTTTGCGACGCCGTTGTGGTCGTTCGTGTTCTTTGCCTGCGAAACGTACTGGTTCCGAAGCCGCGCGGTCTGCACGACTTGCAAAGTAAACGAACTGCCTCGCCTTGGCGGTGGGGTTCATCGGGGTTTATAGGGGACGCTTGAGGGTCTTTCAGCCATGTTCTTTTCTATCTGCAAACAGTCATAGCCTTGCTTTCGAGAAGACGCTTATCCGACGGTCATGTAATTGTCGCCGGCGAATACCAGTTCGTCCTCGTATCTGTATCTGACAACTTCGGATCCCGACGCACGACGACGATCCGGGACCGTAGAACCGTCCCTTGCACCAGACTGAACCACGGCTTCATGTTGCAGTCACAGATAAAGCCCAGCCGATGGGCTCTTACCTTACGCTTTGGCACAAGGGATATGCGCGGTCCTCCGTCGCTGTCGCACTGTTCCG